GAAGACAAAACTGAAGATGTAATGAAGTATAAATCACCCATACTATTACAGCTCTTATCAATCAAAACATTCGTTGTTAAAAGTCCCAGAAAGAGGACACAATACCAGGTACAATAATTAAAACGAAAAGCAACAAAATTGGAAATGGAGCCAAGAAACACCACTACGCTTCTTTCTTTTCAAAATGTGACTCTTTAAAAAGTCAGTCTTCTCAACTCATCCCCTGTCCCGAGTTTTAGAAAGCAAATCAAGCAGGAGCCAATGCGATTGAGGTCACTGTGGAACTTGGGACAGGGCCAAGGAAGTGCAGCAGTGAGTCACGGAGGATGACCTATCTAGAAGGACACCATTTTTATAGGTGTTCTTGCTTAATCAAATGGAAGAGGGCTTCACTTTCTAAGTCTTCCTCACCCAGAAGGAATCTATGAGATAAATGTAAGCTCTTCCCATTCTTCCTTCTGGCCTATGTGGCTGCCATATGCAATTTTGGAGGGAAAAAAAGTAAGGAAGATCACGAATCTTCCTGAAGAATTAGTGATGATTAACGCTGCTTAAATATTGTTGAAGATCGTATGAACGAACATATTTTCTTTTAATTTGGCAGCGTGGTGTTTTTAAAACTAAAGTGTATTTTCCCATACTGTATGTATAAAGCTCATAAAGTACAACTACCAAGAGATAGAACAAATTAATGATCATTCTGTGTCGACTTTCAAGTCTTTCTACTTTTCTCTATTACCATTCGATGGTACTACATACAGATACAAAATTGTATGTACTGATTTCATAGTTTATCTTTTGCTGATGATAAAAGCTACTCATTTATTATACAAATTCATAGAAAAGGGCTTAAATAAAATCAAAATCACCTGTAATCCCACTGTTTGGAGATAAACACTGGTAAGATTTCTTTTCCGGACATGTTTTACTTAGTTGAGAATCAGGCTGCATATACTGGTTTTGAAGCATGATTAACGTGGACCATTCACAGGTCCCATGGGAAGGCCACATATAAAGGAGTCTGATGTCTCTCCAAGGATGGCTGATTAGCCTTCCCTGATGAAGACATACCCAGCAATTCTGGTCATTCCTTATGAGACCATGATGTAAACAATCAAGAACATTCAAGAATTTGCATCCTTCTTGTGTGCAGAGGCTGGGCTCATTAAATAATGAGAATGATGAAGTACCATTCTCATCACAGTGCATGTATAACCCCTGCACATGCATCTCCCACGACTTCAGAATTAGTAGGATTTACACAGTGCAGGTCGGTGGGGACAGGAGGCGCCATGGGCATCAATTCTCTAGCACACTGGATTACATGCAGGGATTTACAAGATCCTTAAAGTCTACAATAAAAATGTTTTTCCATCCTCACCTCCATTTTTAAAGTTTGGTGAACTCTTATGTGACATTTCTAACTATTGCGTTGTATTGATGTGTCTCAAGAAAATTGTTGTTTACATAAATTCAAAGAACTACCCTGGTATGTCAGAGTATTCAAATACATCCTTTCCATGCAAAAGAAGATAGCTGAGATAACTGATAAAAGGCAGCCAAGAAACCTAGAAAACAAGGCATGCTTTTCCTAAAATTGTTTTAAAACAATAAAATTCAAAATTAACATGAACTGAATACCTTTCTCATTTGACCATATCTGATTAGATTTCTGGTCATTACTACTTACATATCTGCAAAGTCTTAATTACAAAATGAAACAGAATGACATTTAAGGTAAAATTCTGTAACTTGTAATTCTTCTTTTGGATTAAGCTATTAACCTGACTTTGCCCCAATAATTCAACAGTAATTTATTTTACGCAATGTTCCTTGCCTTTGCTGGTGAAAGACAAGCACAGGAAAGTGCCAATTTCAACAGTGGATCTATTACGCCACGAACAGAAGTCATTCAAATGGAAAGGGTTGAAAGCTTTGCAAAGAAAATATTCTCCTTGAGTAACAGTAATGATGTGCTTGAATCACATGAGATAATTAATAAAATGTTCACATGATTAAGATGAATCTTACCCTCTGGTTGCAGAGGTACTACCAAAAGCAAAGGGTGAGATTTTTGAGAAAGTCAACTGATTCTCAAGGGAAATTAGCCACTCTATGGGAAGAAAATGGCAACAGCAACCTGACATACTTTCCCCATGCAGACAAGAAATGTAGAGCACATATGTCCAAGCAAAACATTACAGAAAAATAATCCAGTGCCACACTGGATCCTTCATCTGATAAAGAGGTTAGGAAGGTTGCGTGCAAGACATAACAAGCATTTTTCTCTCTTCAAGCTTTGTTTTGAATTTTAATACGCGTAATGTTTAAGACAATCTTATTTTGTTTGCTAGGTCAGTAAAAAAAAAAAATACAAAAAGACAAAAAAAAAAACTCTTTTGTCTAAAACATGTATTTGGATACAGTCCAGAGATTTTAGAGCATACTTATGTTAATGCTGAACAGTAATTCTTTGTTAAGCAGCAATAATATCTAAGAATGTTACCTACTACTACTATAAAGTAGAAAACATATCACATGGAGATTTATCCTGTACTAGGTCATGCTTGTCTCCTTTATCAACACAGCGATAGCTGTGAGTTTCTTTTGTAGTGTTATTTATTGTCTCTAATTCATAGTTAATATTTGCTTTAAAACAAATTTTTGTTTATACTGTAAAAAATACTGGACCAATAATCAAGAGATCTTGGACTGTAGTGCTGACTGCAGTACTGACTCTCCCATTTTTTTGCTGTGAGTTACAGCAAGAGATTCAAACTCTCTGGATTTCGGTAGCTGTATAGCCTGTGAAGAGAGACTAAGAACCAACACTGCCTGCCTATTAAGTGCAAGTAAAACGGACATGAGTTACACCTACGTACCTATGTTACCTATGTTACCCCTATTGAAAAGCCTGTTTTTCAATTCCTTTTCCGGAAAGACAAGGCATAGTCTGCCTACTCTACCAGGTTATTTTATAAACTCTGTATAAAACTCTGGATTTGAGATCTTTGGAAAATTTGCCACTACCTAAGAAAAAAGCAGTGCCTGTATTCCTTAATTCTAATCTAAGGTTAATAACAAAGTAAGAGACAACATATGCTCTACTTGTCATATGAGGGTCTAATTTCAGGTCCAATGGAAAAGGACCAGTGATTCATAAAATGAGAAAATATGGTAAAATGACTCGAACGGGCCAGGTACCTACAGGAAATAGCTAATGATTATCTAGTCCCGTAGTAGTCAAGAACAGTTAGTGTCAACATGCTCATTTCACATCAGACACTACACCAGAACGGGGAAATTTGCTTAACATGTCGCAACTGACCCATCTTCTTGAATTATGTACCTCCACATCAAAGGAGTCCAGAATCTGTTCAGAGGATGAAAGAGAAATCTGATAATGGCTGATGGCAAAGCCTTGGCAGGAATAAACTCCTTCCCAGAGAAAGAATTATTTTATGGGCTTCTCTCCATTTCTCCTTGCCAGTCTCCAGCCTGTGCATCACAGCTCTGTAATTATTTGTTAGTGGAATGATACATTTTCAAGTAGTTCTCCTTCCATAATGGTTAAAAACATAAGGTGAGGACAGGTCATTAACTTTACTATCAAATAGGTGTTTGTTAGATGAGATTAATTATTTAAAACCACATTTCTTAGGCTGTTGTTTCACTAAATGGTACATAGTACAGTGTATCACAACAAATACGAATATTTGGACAGTCTCTGTGTAATTATAATATTATAAAATCTTCTGACTTGATATTGAGATCTGAGGACACTTTTTATATTTTTATTACTTGTACTGTTTGTTCACTTGGAGGTTTTTTGTTTGTTTTTGTTTTTTAAGGAAACTCTTGAATTATCAAATGTTTAAGAATCTAGTTTTCTACACTCTCTTCATCAATCACATTGTGAATAAATCACATTGTAAGTAAATTCACCAGGTGAAATCTTCATTCTAACGCCCAGTGTTTTCATTTTATGTCTCAAATTATGCACATGAATGAACAGCAATCAATATGCTCTTATGACATTCATTTTTGACCACATATTACAAAGATTTCCAGAATCTTCAGCCATTATCCTTACTTTCTAGGTTTGCTGTTGGATTTTCTTTGAAATATTCCTTTTAACTTTTATAAGAAGTCATCAGAATACACATCAATATTTGTCCACAATCTCCACAGACAATCTCTATATCCTTATTTACAACCTGCCTACTGACGAATACACTTGTGGAAAACATCTAGATGTAAGATATCAGAGCAAAGAACTTGATTTCTGCAATGACTGGTCACACAGAAACAACTAGGAACAGACTAATAACCAAGTTAGATTAAATATGGAGAATGACAGTTTCCAGAGGAAAAGAGCACGATACCACATAAAACTACTCAATTTTTAAAAATAAAAGGTTGAAGTAAATTTGAGGTTTGGGACAAAACAAACATTAAACATTAGTGATCAAAGTGTTTCCTCCAGTTTGATGTAAGCAGAAAAAAAGCCTTCCCAATTCCAATTCCTCTACTATCACCAAATAAGAGGAGTAGTTGTTGTAAAAAAGCTTTTTTTTTTCTTTTTTAGAAATTAGCATAATGCTTCAGCTTCACATTAGATTCTTTCTTCTAGAAAGTCTATGTGAAGAAACACACAAGGCCCCAGTTCATGAGAATCATCTATGGGATACGGTAAAATAAGAATTCCCGGATCCACTACTATAGGCATTTTTCATTCAGGAGTCCTAGGACTGGCTCAGGAATTTGTAATTTCAATAAACATCCTGGATAAATTCATTCTGAGGCAGAGAACTCAAAAATACTGCTCCTGGAGTGTCAGTGCACAGACTGGAACTGCAAGAGTCCAAAACACAGTACAACACAGAGTGGCGACGTGCTGAAGAACAAGTCTGTGTACATGAGCTAACAGGAGCACCCTCTTTCTCCTCCCTAAAGACCAGGTCCCCAGTCAACACCAGCTCCACGGCCGGCCGGCTCACCTAAGCAGCGGTAGGGAATCACAAAGTGGGGATGGGTCTTGCACTGCTTGCGGCCCCGCTTGCACCAGTTCTGGATGGTCACTGGTTGGTTGGCTTCTACCACATTGGTGATCTGCAGTTCAGGGTAGACCTGGGAGAGCACACAAAAAGAATCAATTGTTATTTGAGGCAGGGGCTGGCATGTACAAGCATCTAATGAGCCTCCACTGTAAGATACAGGTGGAGTGTCCCTTATCCAAAATGCTTGGGACCAGAAGTGCTTTCAAGGTCTCCAACTTTTTCCGATTTTGGAACATCTGCACTATATACTTACTGGTTGAGCATCTCAAATCTGAAAAGTCCAAAATCCAAAATACTGCAATGAGCATTTCCTTTAAGCATCATGTTGGCACTCAAAAAGTTTTGGATTTTTGAGCATTTCAGACTCTGGATTTTTAAATTTGGGATACTCAACTTGTACTGCTATTCCCTAACAGTCAAGCCTGCTCTACTTCTGACCAAGCTAAAAAAAAAAAAAACCAGTAGAAAGAAAAAGATGCAAATAACAAGCATCTAGCCATTCCATTCAAAATATTTATCAATGCAACTTTTAATTTATTGCACTCATTTAGACGGAAAATATTTTCTCAGGGGAGCTCAAATAGAAACAAGAGGGGGAAAGGAGGATTCTTACAAGCATGGGGTGATTTTTGGTGTGAAATAAATTGGTGTGGGATAATAGTCTGTAATGTTCTAAATAAATGTTACAGTAGATATGGCTGGGGATATTATCTTTACTTAAATTCAACCTCCCCCTAGATCTCACTAATCAGACAAACATTTTACAGAATATGACATATAGAAAGCTTTCTATATAAAAATCCTCCTCTTATTCCAAGTAACTTACATGAATATAATTTATCAAAAATTTATCAAGGGTGTCATTTAGATAAACTCATGAATTCTCTTTGCTCCTATAACTAACTACAGTCCCTTGCTTTGATTACGGTTGTGAATAAATCATGGTGTTTACTGAGCACTTAGAATGAAATGTGAAACTCGATTAAATCACATTTGTGAAATACCAAACCACTTCTATTTATTAATGAGATTTGAAAGAAAAACACAAACACAAACATCTATTTCTACAATGTGCATTCCCTTGCATAAATCTTGCATTTCACCAGGGTGGCTGTTTTGCCAAATAAATAACAATGAATACAGAGATCTGATGGTATAAGCAAGGGCATGATTAGAATGCTGGGCCATGCAATCTGAAGTGGCAAAAGTGAGAATATGAGGGGAATTAGACACAGGTAAAAGGTGGTAGGACCAGCGGAGTCTGAGTCCACTGATCACACTCCAGGGACTAAAGAATGTGTGGCGTACATGACTGGAGAAAGTGAGGTGGTAATAAGTAGTACTTGCAGAGTCAGATAATTGAAATTAAAATTTTGGAAGAGTTGTAGTTATTGGTCATTGCAAGGAGTATAATATGACCATTGTAAGCAACAGGTGATGGAGAATGATGAAAACAATGTGATTGGAGGGGTGAGAATCATGAACTGACAAACTGGAATATTGGGAGGATCACTGAGATCAATATTAGGATCCCTTAAGAATCAGCAAATGAGTGGCTACACTGGATGACAGCAAGGAAGGAGCTAAAATCTTCAAAGTCTGAGTGGTGAACGTCGATGAGGTAGAAAGAGGTCTGGAGATGACCAACAGGTGGAGGAGCAAAACGATCTAGTCTGAAAGCATGCACTTCACAGCTGAGGTGGGGGAGGCTTTTAGGGAAGAGAAAGGAAGAGTGGTTTGGAAACAAAAATGAAGAGGCAAAGAGGACATTCCCACCTGTAGGGGCAACGCTGTGAGGATTTTGAGAAAAGAACTTTGACCTGAGAAGGCTACAGGAGAAGTAGTGCCTTCCTTGGAGGGAGAGCAAGGTCTCTGAGCAAGACAATGTCCACAGAGAGTTAGACGATACACAGAAATTTGCTTATGATCGTCCATGACATTCAGAGGGCTCGGCGTGACTCAATCTTTGTTTAAAAAGTTGATATTTTGTTCATCATAGAGTTTTTTTGCAGTAATTTTGATTTTCAAAAATATCACATTAAAAATTCTTAATCTCAATTCCTGAGTGCCTTGTTTACCTTACCTTAGTCCCAGACCCCCAAAAAATCAGTTAAAAAACAAGGCACGGTGAATGGATAAATAACACGATGGGGTACACACCTAGACAATGGAATGTTATTCAGCACTGAAAGGAAATGGCCTATAAACTCATGAAAAGACACAGAGGAACTTCACTAACATTGCTAAGTGAAAGAAGCCCATCTGAAAAGGCTCCACACTATATGACATTCTTCCCACTCTATGACATTCTGGAAAAGGCAAAACTCTGGAGATTAAAAAGATCAGTGGCTGCCCGGGGTTTGGGCAGTTGGGGGCAGGGGGAGGATGAATGGATAGAGCACAGAGGATTTTTAGGGCAGTGAAACTACTCTGTATGATACCACAATGACAGACATACATCATTATACATTTGTCCAAACCCAAAAAATGATACCACCAAGACTGAACCCTCAGGGAAACTATGGCCTTTGGGTGCTAATGATGTATCAATGTTGGTTCATCGATTGTAACAAATGTACCACTCTGTGGGGGATGTTGATAATAGGAGAGGCTAAGCACGTGTGGAGGTAGCAAGTCTATGGGAAGCCTTTTACCTTCTTCTCAATTTTTCTGTGAACCTAAAACTGCTCTAAAAAAACCCATCTATTTTAAAAACAAAATTTAAAAATAAGGTATCAATCAGTGTAGCAGGGGACAAATTCAGTGGTACAGGTATATGCTATGAGAACACACAAAAAAATCTCTAAATCAGAATCCTGGGGTGGGTGTTGAGAGAGTTATTCTTGAAGCCACTGCCACAGTAGCCTAGCTCCAGAGGGATCCAGCTAGTATGACTTCTCTTTATTTTCCTTTGTTAAGTATCTTAACATCTCAATGCAGGCACTTTAGATCACAGAAAATGCTCAACTGAAAAATGCCACTAAAAATTTAATATTCCCATGGCTTTTTTTCTATATAATGAAAGATGAAGTGGCTTTTTGTACAGGAATATAATTCTCCCACCATTTTTACTTGTTTATTAGATCACAAAGCTGCAGCACTCATGAGTCATAAACTCTATGACACTTGAGAGTCCACCCTGAGGGACACGACTTTATGCGCAGTAAAGTGTGAGTTACTGCATTTTTCTAAAGGGGTTCTAGCTGCCACTTCACTGAAATACAACCCTGCTGAGAATTTCCTCAGGAGTCGCTGGTTTTCTATAAACCCAGTAGCAGGCATATTCATTCACATCATGGTTCCCTCTATACAGTTTAAAACCAACAAATTGTTTGTAGGGTACACATTGATGACCAGGAGAAAAGGATCTGTTTCTCATGTTGGTTGCATACCATCTTCAGGTTCCTGTGGTAGTAGTTGGTGCAACAGGGCAGTAACTGATTAGGTTGACTATTTCCAAGCAGGTAGAATTGCAAATTGACAAATTAAAACCCATGAAGATGGGGCTTTTCCCTAAAGACTAGTTCTAGAACTTTATACAGTGATGAGCCAAACACAGAATTTACTTCCAGTTCCCGCCATGAAATCTAGGACATGCGTGTTATTTTCTGTGCTTCAGCGTCTCTCTCTCTAACACCGACAATGACAATTTTTAATATGCAGATGGATGTGGAGATTATAAAATTTGAACTAGGCCGGGCACGGTGGTGCGCGCACCTGTAATCCCAGCACTCTGGGAGGCCGAGGCGGGCGGATCATGAGGTCAAGAGATAAAGACCATCCCGGCCAACATGGTGAAACCCTGTCTCTACTAAAAATACAAAAATTAGCTGGGTGTGGTGGCGCATGCCTGTTAATTCCCAGCTACTCGGGAGGCTGAGGCAGGAGAATTGCTTGAACCCAGGAGGTGGATGCTGCAGTGAGCTGAGATCACACCACTGCACTCCAGCCTGGTGACAGAGTGAGACTCGGTCTCAAAAAAA